GAACGTTAGGACCACCAGTTTCCCAATCCAAACGTGCCGTTTCACAAACGTTGAAGGGAATTTCATAGTTGTCCCCTGGTTTCATCCAGTCTCCATTCATACTCATCACTAGTCCTCTTTGGAAGTATTGTAAGATGCTTAGATGACCAACAAGATCAACTGGCATTACTTTTTTAGATCTTTTGAGCCTTTCTTTCCACTTCTAGTTGCACATGTTCATGCAAGGGCAGCAGATTGAGGATTGCTTCCCAAGCAACACACTTCCATCATAAAAAGTAGCCGCAACTTGATTGTGACTGAAATAAGCTACATACAAGTTTCCACAACTACTCAGTGACAAGTGTGCTGCTAGGGTTCTAATGCTTTTGATGGGGTGCTACGCACCGCACCCGTTATTGCAATTGCATGCTAGACGTTGAAGTTTTGCTAGTTTCCTCTGAGCAGTAGCCTCTTTTGATTTTGGTCACCACACTAACGAAGCATGAGAGTTCAGGTTACTCAAATTCGCGAAATCGTAGGTCACTCATAGATTGAGTAAATTTTCCGACGCTTTACCGAGGAAAACTGATTGTGGTTTTAATCAGTCTTCTAGTACACTTCTAACCTGTGTACATTTTTTTTAATTTTTCCCATATTCGAGAAGTTTTCCCCGGGAAAGTGTCGGAAAATTTACTCAAACTATGAGTGACCTACGTTTTAGCGATTTTCAGTAATCTGAAATCAAATATGGGTAGCATTTTTTGGTCCATGTTCAATTGGTTTGGAAAGTATTTTTTTTTTTTTAAATCAGTTGGAATTAACTCACGCCGACATACGCCGCCACGCCGCCGCCGCCGAAAGCAAACGGCGTGACGCCGCCACACCGCCGCCGCCGGCAGAAAATAACATATCACGCTGACGCCGAAAATATTTTGATCAACGCGCGAAGGTAGCTGCAGGTCGTCCGAGGTCAGCTCGGGTTCCGAGGGTTATCGCTGCTATCAAAAGGAAGATTCGGGTGAATCCAGGGTGTTCAATAAAGAAAATGGCAAAGGAACACGGGATCAGTGACTTTACGGCATGGAAGATCGTAAAGGTAGATTGCGGGGCGAAGTCGAGGGCACGGCAAAAAATTCACATGATTACCAACCGCATCCGGGAGCTACGAGTCGAACGATGCAAGAAAATCTTGAACTTCCTTAAGCGAAAAAGACGTGGCCGACGAGCACAAGAACGTGTATCTGACCAAGCATCATGCTAGCGTTATGGTGTTTGAATTGGTGGCTTCCGATGGCAAAAAAAATGGACCCGGTGTTCATTCCCGAAGGCGACAAGGTCAACACGAAGGTCTACATCGGGATTTTAAGTAAGTATATTCTTCCGTGGATCAAAGAACAGTACGGTCCGAAGCCAAATGTTGTATTTCAACAAGATGGGGCTCCGTGCCGCACCTCGAACCGCACTCAGAAGTGGTTGCAGGGACATCTTCCGTTCTGGGCGAGGGATATGTGGCTGCCATCCAGCCCCGATCTTAATCCGCTTGTCGATGCAGGATTCGATGAGCTGCCCACCCTGTCAACCAACCTTTCCAAAAGCTGTTAAAGCGCCGCTGCAAAAATATTGACAGACGTCAACGCTGGTGGCTCGAGCTGTCAACGGCAGTGACAGTGAAACGGGGAAGAATATTTCTTTTTGGATAAAAGTTCGCGGCGTGGTCGGTAGTGTTCCTTACCGCTACAGTTAAAATTATTTTGCTGTTATATTACTTTATTATATTATTATATTAGGGAGTGCTGGAGTTTATTAAAATCTAGTAAAGGTGGTAAAAAGTTCAAACTATTAAATCTAAACTTAAAACGAAACTAATTCTAAACTCGTAGGACCTAGAAGCTAACCTAAAACTTAAAGCGCAGGGAGAGGCCCCACGCTACAAAGAATCACCAAATTTGTGAGTAAAATGAAAATTATTATAATCTATATCTAATGAAATAAAATAATTGCAGTGAAGCAAACGCTAAAGCAAAAGGCTTTCAGAAACGATTCTATGACCTTTCCCCCACCTGCGCGGACAAACTTCAAAATTTGCTGTTGCAAGTGAACTCGATCGAAATGGACGAATCGAGGTTAGCGAGAGCCGTCGGACCGGTAATGGACGAGGAGTCCAGTTGCGTAAGTTGTCAACGACCGGATCGCGCGGAAAACATAGTCCAGTGTGACCAATGCGACAGGTGGCACCATTACACGTGCGCCGGAGTGAATGATAGTGTCGCGGACCGGGCGTGGGTATGTAGCAACTGCATTACCCAGCAGAAGGATGACATCGCCTCCCTTCGAAGCGGATCTAGTCGCTCCAGCACAACGTCAGCGTTTTCGGTTTGCCTGAGCCAGCTGGTGGAAAGGCAACAAGCCGAAAGAGCTCGTGCAGAGCTAGCGCTACAACGTCGTCATCTTGACGAGCAGCAACAGCTCATTGACAACGTGCTAGGAGGAGACATAGCAGGCAGCCATTGTGGTGGCGTTTCATCCAGTGGTGCGAACATTAAAGTGGCGCCACCCGCCCAACGTATGCGCCTTCCAACTCCACCTACCCCCGGGGCTCCCTTAGCTTCGTCTGTTCGTCGATCAACACCACTGTTGGGTACACCCAGAACTACCGTACCACCGATGGGTTCGACTGCAGTGCTGGAGCCATCCGCTTCAAGGTCTCAACAGGAAAAGGAGCATCCACTAACCGCCCTTTTGGAACTCAGGAACCGTGTTGAGCAGTGCGAAAAGCGCGCCAAACCAACACCTGAGCAACTGTCAGTGTTACGTGTACAGATGGAGTTGTGCAGAACCCTTCTGGAAGAGTTCCAGTCCGGTGAAGAAGCAAGCGGACAAGCTCAACGGTCGGATGCAAGCGATCCGGTAGGACGACGACTACCAAAGCAAGCGACGACAACAAACGAGCCGCGAATGGAGAAGCAGACCGGCGCCATTCCTAAGGCGAGCCAGACGTTGGAATCGGTACCGGAAGCAAATACTAGTCTGCAGAACCCTCTCTGGCAATTGAGGGATCCGGTAAGCCAACCCAGTTTGCCTTCGGTAAGTCAACCAAACGCTGAAATGCGTCCGAACCACGTCGAACCCCCAGGTAAGCGTCAAGCCTTGAATCATATGAACGGTTGACTTACAGTACGGTTGAGTCGTCTCAGCCCCCTCGTCAATCAGAAAGTACACGAAGATACCAAGCGATTCCTTCCCCAGTGCAACACGGTGCTCCCACACAGCAGCAGCTAGCAGCAAGGCAGTCCCTGGCTAAGGAACTTTCTCGATTCTCCGGTGACCCTGCGGACTGGCCGATCTTCATTTCGAATTATCGCTACACGACTGAAGCTTGCGGTTTTTCGGATGGAGAGAATATGCTTCGCCTCCAACGATGTTTGACTGGACCGGCGCTGGAAACTGTGCGCAGTCGGTTGGTATTGCCAGCAGCGGTGCCCCAGGTGATCGAGATTCTTCGTATGCGGTTTGGACGACCGGAACTGCTGATAAATTCTCTGCTGAGCAAGGTGCGGGAAATCCCAGCTCCAAAGTCCGACAGGTTGGAAGGACTCATCGACTTCGGGATGGCGGTGCAGGCCTTATGCGACCACATTGAAGCAGCGAATGAACGCGCTCACCTATCGAACCCGTCTCTTCTGCAGGAACTCGTTACTAAACTTCCCGCGGAACAACGAATGATGTGGGCGGGATACAAGCGGGGATTCGATCACGTCGATCTAAAAACCTTCGGTGACTATATGGCGTCAGTGGTACAGGATGCGACAAGTGTGGTGACCTTTGAGCCAGAAGGTAAAAGGGGCAGTGCTCGCGACCGTCCGAAGAGCAAGGGGTTCGTGAACGCCCATGCAGTGGAAAGCGCGGGGAGTTCCGGAGTTTCATCGAGCGAATCGAGGGAATCACCCAAACAATTCGACTGCCTGAACTGCAACAAAAGTGGGCATCGAGTGCGCGATTGTGAAGTCTTCAAGAAATTGGACATCGACGATCGCTGGAGAAGAGTTCGTGCGCTGTTGCTGTGCCAGAACTGCCTGTTTAACCATGGACGTCGTGCGTGTCGAGGACGAAAGACATGCGACATTGAAGGCTGCCAGTTTCGCCACCATCCTCTCCTCCACTCCCAAAGAGGACCACCGAAGTTGTCGGCACCGACGCCGAGAGTTCAGGTAGCCGATAACCATACCCACCATCACGCAATGTCATCGAAACTCTTCCGTATCATTCCCGTGATACTCCACGGTCGTAGTGGGTCAATTGAAACTTTCGCCTTCCTCGATGAGGGTTCTGACCTGACACTAGTGGAACACGACCTGGCTACTGCGCTGGGCGTGAAGGGGACGCCTCATCCTCTATGTCTTCGGTGGACTGGCGATACTTCGCGATTGGAGAAGGAATCGCGACGGATCACTATCGAGATCGCTGGAAATGGGCAGAGCAAACGCCACAAGTTGGTGAACGCGAGGACCGTCAACAATCTCAGTCTTCCCGTCCAAAGCTTCCAGGCCGAAGAAGCGGTGAAAGTGTACCCGCACCTAAAGGGCATCCCAGTAAGCAGTTATCAGAATGCCAAACCCAAGATCCTCATCGGCATCGACAATCTGCATCTGGCACTTCCGCTGAAGATAAGAGAAGGTGATGGATCTGCGCCGGTGGCTGCTAAAACAAGGCTAGGCTGGTGCGTCTATGATCCTCGAGGAAGCAGCAATCGTGAATCGTACAGCTTCCACGTTGGAGAATGCGCCTCTGACGAGAAGCTCCACGAGACGGTGAAAGATTTTTTCGATATTGAGAACACTGGAACGGGTCTAGTGGAAACTCCGTTGACGAAGGATGATCAACGAGCGATGACCATCATGGAAACTACAACTCGATGAGTTGCGGACCGTTTTGAGACGGGATTAATTTGGAAGGAGGACCAAGTGGAATTCCCGAACAGCTATACGATAGCACTGCGTTGACTAGAATGCCTTGAACGACGGATGGATCGTGACCTGGAGCTGAAGGAGAATCTACATCGACAAATACGCGAATACGAAGTGAAGGGCTATGCACATAAGGCGACGAAAGCGGAAATGGAAGCAGCCGACCCAAGGAGAACGTGGTACCTACCAGTAGGAGCAGTCATGAACCCCAAGAAACCGGGGAAGGTCCGTATCATCTGGGATGCGGCCGCTAAAGTAGATGGTGTATCTCTGAATAGTGCACTACTCAAAGGCCCGGATCAACTATCTTCTCTACCAGGGGTCCTATTCCGCTTCCGTCAGTATGGGGTGGCAGTAAGTTCGGATGTTCAGGAGATGTTCCACCAACTCCGAATCCGAGAAGAAGACAAGATTTCTCAACTATTTTTATGGCGCACTAATCCATCCGACAATCCAACGGTGTACGTGATGGATGTTGCAACATTCGGGAGCACCTGCTCGCCAGCATCAGCACAATTCGTGAAAAACCGCAACGCCGAGGAACATTCCGAAGCCTACCCCGAAGCGGCAAAAGCGATCATTCACGACCACTACGTCGACGATTATCTGGCGAGTTTAGCTCCGTGGAGGAAGCAGCAAAGGTGGCAAGCGATGTGCGCTACGTTCATGGCAACGGAGGATTCAAGCTTCATAACTGGCGGTCGAACAGCAGCACGGTGCTCAACAGACAAGAAATGGCAGAGGTGGATACAGATGATCGAATACATAGCCGAGATCCGAATCCCAAGATGTTACTTCCCTAGTGCTACTCGGAGGACCTACCAGAATTCTGAAGTCCATGTGTTCGTCGATGCAAGCGAGGTGGTGTATTCTTGTGCGGTCTATCTACGCACATTCAACCAAGACGGCGATCCGCAGGGTTGCCTAATCGCCGCCAAGTCAAAGGTCGCTCCTCTGAAACCTTGGTCTATTCCCCGGCTGGAACTACAGGCATGTGTCTTGGGCGCACGGTGGTCGAAATTCGTCATAGAAAACCACAACGTTTCCGTATCCAAGACCACGTACTGGACGGATTCAAGAACAGCGCTAGCCTGGATTAAAGCTGATCCGCGTAACTATCGACAGTTCGTCTCCTATCGGGTAGGCGAGATCCTGGAACATTCAACGGCAGCTCAGTGGCGGTGGGTACCGTCAAAATCCAATCCAGCGGATGAAGCGACGAAATGGGGAAGTGGCCCGTACTTCGATCACGACAGCAGTTGGTTTCAAGGACCCAACTTTCTACGATTGCCGGAAAAAGAGTGGCCCCGTATTAAGGAACCAGTGACCGCTACTAACGAAGAACTGCGTGCATCGATTCTGCACCACCGATCGTTTGAACCCGCAATAGACTTCAATCGGTTCTCATCCTGGGATAGGCTGCAACGTGCAACCGCATACGCTCTTCGATTCCTGCACAACACGTCCAAGAAGCGGCCGGAATACTCCGGGCCGTTGCAACAGTCGGAACTTCGAGCGGCTGAAGAAACAATCCTTAAGTTGGTACAGCATGAATCCTACCCAGATGAAGTTGCCGCACTGTCGAATAAAGCGCCGAACGAAGCGGGACAGGAGGTTATCGGGAAGCAAAGCTCCATCTATCAACTGATGCCAATGCTGGATGGTAACGGATTGCTACGCGAGCGCGGTCGGATCGAGATAGCTGAACATGTTCCCTATGGCGTGCGACTGGGAGCTGATTCAACGCCAACTGGAGGCATTCTGGAAGCGCTGGTTGATAGAGTACCTGCCGGTGATCCGTCGACAAACAAAATGGTTTGAGGAAACCAGAGCACTCGAACCGGGAGATCTGGTAATGGTGGCGGAGCCAGCGAAGCGGAATGGATGGGAGCGAGGACGAATCATCCATATGATCCCGAATCCGGATGGCCGGAAGCGAAGAGCAGTGGTAAAGATTGGTGGAAAAACTCCAGTGCGGCCGGTGACAAGGCTGGCACTACTCGATGTGAAGGAGAAACGTGAAGTTCCGGAGAACACCGGACTACACCCGGGGGAGACTGTCGATGCAGGATTCGATGAGCTGCCCACCCTGTCAACCAACGTTTCCAAAGGCTGTTAAAGCGCCGCTGCAAAAATATTGACAGACGTCAACGCTGGTGGCTCGAGCTGTCAACGGCAGTGACAGTGAAACGGGGAAGAATATTTCTTTTTGGATAAAAGTTCGCGGCGTGGTCGGTAGTGTTCCTTACCGCTACAGTTAAAATTATTTTGCTGTTATATTACTTTATTATATTATTATATTAGGGAGTGCTGGAGTTTATTAAAATCTAGTAAAGGAGGTAAAAAGTTCAAACTATTAAATCTAAACTTAAAACGAAACTAATTCTAAACTCGTAGGACCTAGAAGCTAACCTAAAACTTAAAGCGCAGGGAGAGGCCCCACGCTACAAAGAATCACCAAATTTGTGAGTAAAATGAAAATTATTATAATCTATATCTAATGAAATAAAATAATTGCAGTGAAGCAAACGCTAAAGCAAAAGGCTTTCAGAAACGATTCTATGACCTTTCCCCCACCTGCGCGGACACCGCTGTATTACTCAATATGGCGCGTCATGAAGGCCAAGGCCTGTTCTAAACGCCACCCGAGAAGAGCAAGCCTCAGACAAACATTGACCCGGACCTGGAGAGAAATGGATCCAGACTATACATTATTAGAACCTGCCGTGCATTCTGGAAGCGTGTGGAGGCCGTAATTGCAGCAAGTGGAAACTCGATCGTTGATAGTTTAATACTCTGAGAAACATCCCCCTTTATATAAATAAAAAAAAAAACTCGAAAACGAAATTTTTGAGATTTTTTTTTTAGTTTTGACATTGTTTAATGGTGCAAAGATTATCACGCATACTGTATATTTGAATGCGATTCAGTAAATTTACTACATCCCAAACGCCGTTACATAGGACTCGCGAATTTCCCCCAAGTAAAATTCGGCAACTCGCGAAAACTGAACATTTTTTTCGTTATTTTTTTCTACATCCAATTCTTCCATCATTAAGACGATGGTGGAACATGGGTACAATGCAATTTTCGGTTTATGCTTCTTGCTTCTCCCGTACGAAGTAATGAGTTAGCGTTCACAAGAAAAGTCTCCTTGCCAGACAATGGTGTAAGTAAGTGTAAAGGAACGCGATATCATTCCCGAACTTTTTTTTTTCTCTGCTTGCTTGGCTACGAGGATGATGTATGTTCGCGTACATAAATTATACCGGCGAATACATATATGCGTAATCGCTTATTGTTAATTTCGTTTTATTGTTCGTAGATGTAATTTTATGAATTGTTGTGGTTGTAGGACTGGTTCCGAGGATTTTCCTCTTTGCCAGCCCAGTCTTGAGCCTTGGTAAGGGCATTTGTTTTTCGTGTCGAATAGTGAATGATTGAAGATGCTCGGAACTTTTAAGGGGAATTTTCTTTTTTAGGAGGATATTTCGCTGAACTTGAGAACGCGGGGCGATTTGAATTTAATTAAGGGGTCGATACCGACCTGTATTTTCATTTTTTATTTATTATGATTTATGCTTAAATCAGAGGGAAGAAGATTTTTCATTAGGGGAACAAAGCCCAAGCATTTTACAATAGATAGAACGCCTTAATCTTGCGTTCGTTTTTGTGACCTATTGAAATTTATTATATTTTTTTTCCGGAGGAATCGTCAATGCAATAAGTTTATGTTTGGCATTTAACTATTGTTCATTCACTCCAATTATTATGACACGCAAAAAGCCATGGACTAAACCAAAGTTAAATTGCGTGAGAAAACTCTGAATAATATCAGCATTTATAATTAAATACAATTTTTTTGTCTATATCCAGAAATTTCCGTTGATGTAGCGAAACATTTGATTTCAATGGCATCACTAAGAACAGCAATTCCAACCCTCGTCCCTATAGCGCCGTACTCGTCAAGGGTCAACACCGATAATGTGACAGTGAATACCCTCCCTCTGACAAGGAAAGGGTAGGATTCAAATTGAGAGCAAGCAGGAAAATTCAGAATCGACCAGTCAGACACTCTGACACATGATTTAAATGTTTGACATGTGCCACACTTTCCTCTACATATGTAGCTATGTGACAAAAACTGACGACATTGTTCCGGATGCTTCCTCCCCAAATCCATATCAGAATACTGTAGAACGGAAAGTCAATCAACTGGAAAACTGTTCTGTCGAAAGGATGCAACCTGAAGGTTTCGAAAAATAGTCAGTAACAATGGGATGGAAAACTGATTCCCTGCTCGGCTGGTACCAACAACATGTTACATGTCAATTGTCTCCTTTTTTCCGAGAACAAAATTTGATTCTGTTGGAGTTCTTCATTTCAGATAGTTGTTTCTGTCTCAAATGCTGATGGAGTGAAATTTTCAGTCCCAATACGACCAGCATTTAACTTTCTAAATAATACTCGTTCCAGCACAATTCACAAGAGTGCAACGGAATACCCATCGACCAATCAACAACACATGCGACAAATCGCAACCATCCCGCATCATGCACGTATCGTTGTTCCTTCTGCCCCAGTTTTCCCCCTCTAATGTAGGTTCGGTGCATTGCAAATTAGATCGATTTCCAGCTGGGAACGTATGCTATTACCGACCTACCGGTGGTGGTGTGAAAGTGAACGGTTCAAGGGCTTTCTAGTGCACGGTCGTCGTCGGTCGTCGTATCGCGGTCGTTTCAATGGAAATGCATTGATTATTGTCACATTCGACATTATGCAACGTGTACTCACACGTGCTGGCTGTCGGTTGAAGTATGTGCACGGTTCGCAACACAATCAAGTTCAACTGCTATCAGGTCGTCAACTGATGGTGGAAAGTGATTTCGACGAAAATGATTGAGATTTCCGGGGAAATGCTGGTGGTGGTCATTTAAGAGCCTTTCATTTTTGCAGATGTGGTTGATATTCTGATTCTCTGGGTTGTCGTAGGGATCCATCGCGGGTGCACAACATCAATGTGTTCGAGGGCTGCGATGAACTGCTTTCCTTTAGCCCATCTAGATCATTTATTCTCAGCATAGCATGATGATTACCACACGGTTCTTAACAATTCATCCCAAAAAGATAAATGCTCTAACTTCCTTACTTTTGATGGTTCAAAGTCATTCAAGATTTGACCTGCTGTACAATGTTAGTCTGCCTGTTTTTTTGAGTGTCCCATACTTCCTAGATCTTGCTTTATATGGTCAAACTACATAGCTCGCTGCACACTTCTGCGTCTTACACCGCACATTGGGAAAAAATGGGATCGTAATCGAACTTAATTAGATGGCCCTAGTTTGAAAGCCTACAAAATACCTATACTTATGTAAAAGCATACAAGGAATAATTCTAAAATTGTGATGGTCCTAAATTGTGCAGATCTCAGTGCGATGTCCATTTTGCCCAAATCTATCATACATGATTGCAGCTAATAAAACAGTAGAAAAACTGATTTGGTGCCCGAGAAATAATCTTAAATAGCACTTATACATTTTTAAAATATCAGGGAATCAAATATCATCCATTTCATACTATGGAACCATCACCAATCGATTCCTTGTATTTTTTTTTACATAAGTATAGGTATCTTGTAGGCTTTCAAACTATGCCATCTAAATAAGAACGATAACGAGGTCGGTTTATCCCACTGTGCACCGACTAGATTCGAGGCAATATCATTTTTGCGGGAATGTTTTCCGGTATTCTTACAGCGTGTTCCGTCCGTTGTACGATTCCAGCTTTAGCGACTTTCTGACTCACCATTAAGTTTCGCCAGCTTGTGGTGCATTCTTCTTCTCTATACGCCGTTTCCATATACCTCGAAAAAGATGGTCATTCTAAAACTCCCAGTCAGTGTACTTTGGGAAATTTCCATACAAGGCGGAAAAATACCATTGTTACATAAATACGTGAGACATACGGACGTTAGGCATAATATACGTTAGGCATAAGGGACGTTAATACCTTGCTGCTGTGCAACTCTAGAAACGTGTTTCGAGCCTGATGAACAATGCATAAATTAGGCTAAGCGTTGAATAAAAGATGATACAAGTTACATAGGCACAGTTTGGAATCCATTATTTATCATATCATAAGTAACTTAGCTACATATTTACTTAGATCCAAGATTAGTAGCGATAGCGGTTAAGTAATCTGCCATTAAAAACTTAGTTTTGAACTATATCTTGAAATTTGTTGTAATATATTTATTTATTTATTTATATGACTGAACCTCAACAGGCGTTATTTGCCACAATGATGTTACTTAAACTAAACATGAAAAGTACTAAAACAAAACATCAATAAGTACATAGATAGTCATCTCATAAAAAAAGAGCATTACTAAACAAACTAAACTGATCTAGAAAAAAAAACGAACTAAACCTCCGGCGATGCAGCTGGCGAGTCAGGTCAAAACCAAACAGTGCGGAGACCCTATTGAAGAGTCTCTGTAAACCACCGATTGCACCGAACATGCTATAATTAGTTCGCTGTATGGGGAGGCGCAGCATTCAATTATTCCGTAGGGCTCGGGGTTGAACATTGATGTCAATTTGCTCAAGGAGGACAGGGCAATCGGTGCGTCCTTGCAAAATATCCCCAATTAGCAATGCCCTTGCTGTATCTCTTCGGACCGACAGGCGCTCCAGATGGATCAGTTGCAAACGACTTTCGTAGCTAGGCAATCGGAAGGGATCCGTCCACAGCAGTTTACGTAGAGCATATCTCAGGAACCGTCGCTGAACAGACTCAACTCTTTCGACACCGTTGTTGTA